GGGGGGGGGGAGAGTGGTTATTAGCAAGAGGAGGGGGTTCCTGCTGTTGCTTCAGCTCCCTGAGAATTAAACATGAACAGTCGCACTGTGTAATTTTAAATTGTTAATTAGCACAGGGTTAATTAGGCGGGCTTTTCACAAGAGGTTGTCTGGCAGAAAACCAAGAAGGGGGAACAAGGGAGAAGAAAAGAAAAACAAAGAGAGCAGATATGGCAAGAAACTGTTCCCTCTATTAACAGCCCATGTGGCATCAGCAGAGACCCTCAGCCAGCAGGCAGGAGAGGCCCTAGCGCTGCAGATGCTGCCCTGCCCGGCTGGAGTGAGAGCCTGCGGGTACCACTCCCCAAAGCTGATTCAGCAGAAACCCAGAAGTTGTTCCTACCCTTCAACTCAGCCAGCTTTGCACACTGGGAATTTATCCTAAAGGAGACAACCCAAGAGACATGCAGATATATAAGATGATTCATCCCATCATTTATAACAGAAAAGAAAAATGGAAACAATCCGGTCAAAACAAGGGCTCTCTGTATAAATTACACTGCCTAGAGTTGCATGCTGTTGTGGTTGTTATGTGCCGTGGAGTCAGTTCCAACTCATAGTGACTCTGTAACAGGGTTTATGAGGCTGTAAATCTTTACGGGAGCAGAAAGCCTCATCTTTCTCCCATGGAGCAGCCGGTAGTTTTGAACTGCTGAGCTTGCAGTTCGTAGCCCGATTTGTAACCACTACACTACCAGAGCTCCTTTAGCGTTCCATAGGCTCCCATATGTTAAAAAAATAAAAATAAATTTTAAAACCTTTAAAAAAAATATTTACAAGCACGGGACAATGATCACACAGGATGTTAAGTGAAGGAACCATGTATATGCATGTGTATGAAAATAGGAGATTTATGTCAACCTTGAAACAATGGCAATTTCTAGGGGATGGGTTAAGGATGACAACGTCATTTCCTCCTTGGTGTCTCTATTTCCCAGAGCCTTTTACAATTAAAACCAGCATAACAGCACCCATCACTTAGTGAGTTAGACACAATCTTAAGGCCTGGGGGGAACAGCATTACTTCTCTAGGATACTGTTGTTGTTATGTGCTGTGGAGTCAGTTCCGACTCATAGCGACCCTGTACAGGGTTTCTTAGACTGTAAATCTTTACGGGAGCAGAAAGCCTCATCTTTCTCCCACAGAACAGCTGGTAGTTTTGAACTGCTGACTGTGAGATTAGCAGCCCAATTCGTAACCACAAGAGTTCCTAGATACCAATGCTACTTTTATCCCCGTTTTAAAGCAGGAAAAACTGA